GTGGGCGGACGTGTCGGACCAGGACCGGACCGGACTGGTGCGTGTGTGGGGCTGAGGCCCGGCCCTCCCTGTCTCCTCACAGGGCTGCCCGGAAGCCTTTGGAGTATCCTCAGCTTGCTCTTGCGTTATTAATTGTCTATAATGGCTAATAACTTTCCTTTTTCCCCTAATTCAGTGCAGCGGTGAGCCCTGCTTGGTATGTAGCTGGTTCTGATCGGCCTGCTGTGGGTAACTTGGTGTGATCTGCCGTGGATCTGACTGTCCGCAGTCAAGGTTTCACAGGTTTAAAAGCAAAACGTGTGTTCCTCTGGTTTATTCCCCTAGAGGAGCATTGGCTTCTCAATTTCAGACTTTTCCCAACATCCCTAGACCCTTAGCGGAAAATAGAAACTGGAAATCCTATGTAGTCAGTTTCAAAGCCTTGGAGCAAGAGCCGCTCCTGCTTAAAACTAGTCTTGACGATGTTATGTGCTATCTATAAATTTGCATCTGTCATTTGCATTATTGAGTCTTGGGCTCAGCTGTGGATAAATCTTTTAATGCACAAAAATATTAAGAAAGTGTGAGAATGGCTATATCTGGAAATCTAGGGAGTTCTGGGCCGAGGAAAATTAATTAGCCTGAATTAGTCAGGTTCTCCAATTTGTGTCTGTTAGACTTACAAATGAAAGCTTGCATGAAACTGAGCAACTACTAAGATCTGGTCTGAGATTTAGACTTTAGGGATTTAATGCAGTTCTTGCTTTAAAAATGTAATTAATAAAAGATGTTCTGCAAGAAAATAAACACAGGACAACTGCTGCATGTGACAGGTCATACTGGCCATGCATGTGTTTCCAGGATTGAAGCCTTAAATGCATTCCCTGTCCTAAGAGAAAGCTAGACTTCTTTTCCTAAAGAAAAATAGCGTGTAAGGCGACAGATCTTCCTTCCTGTCACGCCTTAGGGTTTGGAGGCAATGCAAATTTCTGCTTGCTGTGTAATGTACCAGTGGGCTCATTACTTGTCGTTATTATGGTATTTTATTATTTGAAGATCAATAAAATGCTTGGTGGAGGACGAGGAAGCAGCATAGTTGTTCCCAGAAAAGGCCAAAGCCCACACTTTCTGTAAGGACTGTAATCCCTTGGCTTCACAGGCTGAACGTAACTCGTATGAGTTAACGAGGCAAGTGGTGGAGGATTGAACTCTGAACTTCCTCCATCTCCCAGTGACAGTTTTGATTGCACACAACTTAAATGACATGCCTTTAGTGTCTAGTTTTGGAGACCTGAGCCTGTTTACAACGGTTGGCAAACTGCTATCAGGTGTAAAAGGGAACTGGGAGGCAATTTTCCCTTTTCTACCACAGCATCCCATGGGCAGCCTGGCAGCGTTGAAGCCCTCGTACGTGGCTGTGTTTCCTACCACCAGGAAGTGAGTGAGGTTTGCTCAAGCCCAGCAGCTATGGCAGCCGATGAGAGAGACTACAACCTGACGGAGGAGCAGAAGGCGATCAAAGCCAAATACCCACCGCTCAATAAGAAGTATGAATGTGAGTTATTCTTAATGCTAATCATGTTACAGCGTATGTGTGACAGCGCAATTGTGAGGGGGAGGGAGGGGAAGGAAGCTTTTTCTACCTCTCTTCTATAGGAAGAGATACTCCAGAGTGTATTGCCCTTATGTGTGGTATTTTTTCTCCTACATGCCCTACTAAAAGATCATTATCTCTCCCTTTCCCCACCCCTGGAATGTCTTCTAAGAACGTGCCAAGCAAGTGGGTGAAAGCCCAAGGGACAGCTTAAGGCACCCACAGGAGATCATTCAGTGTCTGTTTTCTATTTGATCCAGGTCTGTGTCTATAACTCTGTTAGAATATATATTTTTAGGATGCGTTCAGATCTTTATTTGATAGCAGCGCAGAAGTATGGTGACATACTACAATAGTCATGCTGTTTCCATAACTGGAAGAGGTTTTATTCTTCTTTTACATCCACTGGAATTTGTTTGCTTTAGAGACCGTTGTTGAGAATCCATTAATAGCGTGTGAACGACCTAAACAGCATCAAAACAGTCTTACAGTCGTGGTATTTATTTTACATCCCAAGTTAGCTCTGTTTCTCTAAATGAATACAAATGATGTTCATGTAAAACTTGATACGTCCTACCTTACTAGCAAAGAATGCCTTCTATTTTGTATGACATAATTTTTTTTTAATGTGTGTTTTTGGGTGTGGACAGGTATGTTTCTCCACTGAGCTGGAAATATTTGCAAATATCATCCTCTGCATGAATAATTTTCAGTCCTGCAGACTTCAGCAAAAACTGTTTACTCCTGGTTAAAGTTCCTTTTTATTGCAGTTAACTTGTAGAAGCCTGTTGTGTTACAACAGCCATACCTTGCGCACAGTGCTCTACACATAGGGCACTGACATAATTATATTAAAGACTGTTTTTCTACTTGGCAGAAATAATCCAAAATTCCACCTGTGCTAACTTTCTCTAATATACTGGAAAACAGATTATCACTGTTTCACATCTGAAAATGGATGCAAAAAGTTCCTGTTACAACAACAATATCTAATTTCCTTTTTTTTTATCTTGATTTTTAAAATATGTTTGGTGATGTCAAGCCTTTTCTTTTTCCTTCCCCCTCAGATTTGGATCACACAGCAGATGTGCAGTAAGTATGGGCAACTGGGATTTCACAATATGACAAATTGATTCTTTCTTACACTGCTATAAATCTGGAATACCTGTTGAAGACTGGTTGCAGATGTATACCTTACAGAACTATGAAATGTCACACACTGGGGTTCTTTGATGGTCTGCTTTGTTTCTGCTCTTGGGAGAGCACAGAATCTGTGTTTGGTTTCTTTTCTAATGTAATATGCCTATGGTGCTTCTGATTAAGCCTCTGTTATATGGAAGTGTCTTTTGAAATATTTTTATTTCTTTCCCCTTAAACCAAATTTCTTTTGAGTAGTCCATTTTTATGGATATCAATTGGCCATATTAGGAAAGAACTTTCTTATTGTCTGGTAAAACATTTATTTTCCATATTCTCCCAAGAAACTCTTCTCACAAACCACAATTAAAATCTCTGTAACCTGTGCAAATGTGTAGGTGTAGAAAAGCAAGCATTTTTGTTCATTCACTTCCTCTGCATTAATTCTCATGTTCTGTTTTCTCACCTCCATAATATTTTGGGATTTTTTTTTTCCTTTTGTTACAGTCTGGTAAATTATCCTGTCTTTTTAGACTACATGCCTGGGGAGACACTTTGGAAGAAGCGTTTGAGCAGTGCGTTATGGCCATGTTTGGCTACATGACTGACACAGAGACCGTGGAACCTGTGGATACAGTAGAGGTAGAGGCAGAAGGTAAGGCTGTGCTGACTTTTCATATTGGAACTGTATGAACCCTGAGGGAGAAGGGTACCAAAATTTTTAATCTTTAGATGTAATTTTGTTGCAGTTAATTAAAATCTAATTAAGCCTCACTAATCTGAATCTTCTAATAGTGCAGAAGCTGTACGTCTGACATACTCTTAAAAATATTTGGGTGTTCTTGCTGAGACAATCAACTGATTTATCTTCTCTTCTTCAATCCTGCAGGACATGACATGTTGTCTCTTCTCTTCCACTTCTTGGATGAGTGGCTGTATAAATTCAGTGCTAATGAGTTCTTTATACCCAGGGTAAGTGTGCTGTTTTGTTTGTTTTTCATTTGTAGGTCGAAGCTATTCTCTGATAATACCAGCTCTGAAGGCAATGTTAGTTTGGAGGGGGAAAAAAGGGACACAACAAATCACTTAAGCAATTTAGTTCTCACATGGAGAATTGAAAATACCAAGGCAGAAAGACTGGAGAAGCAAATTGTTAAGATTTGTTAGCAGAAACACCAATAATTAGCTGCTGTTATACACTGGGGGTATCTGCTGCCTGCCTGTTCCAAGCAGCAGCGTATCTCTTTGAGGCTGCTCAGATTCTCTGGGTTTAGATTCTATTTAAACAGTGGAATATAACCCTTGTAAATGGCATTTACTGAGATTTTCTGCCTGAAGATAGAATATGTTACTGACTTATTTCTCCTCTTGCTTCCTCTGCAGGAGGTGAAAGTGCTTTACATTGACCGAATGCAATTCAAAATAAGATCAATTGGGTGAGCTTAAATGATCGGTTGAGTAATGAATATCTTTACTGAAAATGCGTGTATTACCTTCAGAATCACTGCTCTGAAATACCGTGATGTGCTGGAGTCATGCATTCTAAAAAGTGAATTGTGGACTTTTTACTTTGAGGCTTTAAACGAAAATTGCGCTGTCCTGTGCTCGTCAGTGAAACTAATTATAACATTTGATAAATATTCCCAAAATTCCAACCGCTTCTCTTCTTTTTGCCTTTAAAGGTGGGGAGAAGAGTTCTCTTTATCCAAACACCCCCAGGTATGCAGTGGTTGATCTGTACATCTTTTACATTTTAGGGGTAGGATGGGGAGGGATGGTGTCTTTTAAATCAGGCCTCAAAGTTCTCAAGATTTCCAAGTATAAAAACGTCTGAATGTTATCACAGGCACTAAAGATGTGATGCACTTTTTGCCTGGGTTTTGTGAATACATTCCTGAAACTGTTGACCTGAGCACCTGATGCTTCCTTGGCACTAGCAAAACTCAACAGTTGGATTGCTTTTTGTGATGCTGATCACGCAGTAAACCAATCTATATTCAGAATATGTACATAGGTTTGATTTTCACACTATTATCACAGCTTTTTGCTTAGTCAGTTACTGCCTTTTTTCCCCTCTAAAGAATTACTAGAAGCAAATGCTTATCTCCCCGGCAGCTCTTTCGCTGTGTCAGTATTAGCATAGCAAATATTGATGCTCTGTCAGAGGTGAGGGGGGGAATTTGTAGTATTCAAGAGGCAATAAAATAAGGGAAGAGTTACTTATTCACTATTTGGCCTGGCCAACCCTTTGCCATTAGTCTGTCAACATTTTATTCATCTGAACAAATACAGTTACAGTTTTTTGGGGAGAAACTGGATAGCATTTGTAGAAGGTGATAAATACTGTAAACTATCATGAATTGCTACAAGGGACGTCATTTAGAAAATCCATGCTTTTGTGACTTTTCTCTCTAGGGCACAGAGGTGAAAGCCATAACATACTCAGCAATGCAGATCTGTGAAGATGAAAAGCCAGAAGTCTTTGTCATCATTGATATTTAAAGCAAGAGAGGTGTGGTCGAGTGGATGCTCATCACCGGTTGGCAAAAGTCCCTTGAAAACTGTAATCCCTGTGGAAGTAACTAAGGAGTTGGCAAATTCAAATTGAAGGGAGTAATTGCGGGAAATGTCAGCCTCTGTCTTGACTTGGGGATGGTGAGCCAGACCAATTCCTGCATGCCAGGAAAAGAAGAACTCGTTGGGGTTTGGGGGGGTGTTGAGAAGAAGAAGGGGTATCGTAGGGCTTGAATGTCTCTCGGAAATGCTAATAGTCTGCTTTTGAGACTGATACCTGTGTTAGGTGCTGTATGAACTAAACAGAGAAATTAGTGGAGCTGCTAGTTAAAATACTACCTCTTTTGTAGGGTGGCAGGAGAGAATGTTAATCTGTGTGATTTAATTTGCAGATTTAAATACTCTAATTCTGAGGTGACATCCCTCCTCCGTATTGTATAAAGGGTCCAAAATATCTGCAGAGGGTCGGATTTAATGTAAAAACATTTCAGACTGTTCAAAGGACACCTAAGAAAATATACCAATTAAAAAAACAAACCACCACACTTTCTAGACTACTTTAAAAAAAAAAAAAAGTCATACCAGCAGGTGGTGCTGAGTTGCTGTAAATAAATTTCCACATGAAATCCTAAAGCATGTGGAATCCTACATTAGGTATGTGGAATCCTAATAACTCCTGTTATCGGTCGAAAAAGTAGGCAGCTTTGCTGCTGCATAGAAAGGGATGCTCCAGACTCCGCGGGGTCAGTCCCAGCCACGTCTGGCGAAAGCGGATGCTCTTCTTTTAAAAAGCAAGTGATTTGAATCAGCTTCTGTCTTCCTTCAGAAAGGACAATATGGACAATCCTTTAATGTCAAAGGATTATGGATTTCAGTTCACTGAATCAAAATTAATCAATAATAATCAAAAGTGTGTGTTCTGTTTTAAATCCCAGGACCAAACCCATGTGTTTCCTGCCATTGCTATGTAAACGTGAGGGGCACAGTAAGGGAGGGTTGGTGCTGGCCTGACTTTGCCTCCTTGTAAATGCTACAAGTGCCTTGCCTCTGGAGGTAGACCTCATCCTTATTTTGTTGTAAAGTTATCTTAAAAAGATGTGGTTTTATTTCCATATTGTGGAGAGCAAGGGATAAAATCCCTTTTACTTTTTGAGAAAGCTTCAATGCTGAAATAAAACTCATGACTGAAAGAACCTAAGGATTTGTGTGTGAGTAACTTTGGCTAGTGGGTTTTTAACACCATTGCATTACGCTTGCGCTTTGTTCTTTGCCAAGGTGGGCAGGCTTTTTTTGTCAGAATGACGATACACCTATTTTGAGGTACAAAATTAGCATGATTTTTCACACACTGGGTTTTCTTCCCTCCTCAGGAGCACCCCCAAGGCTCCAGCACATGCCCGCTGTGGCGACAGGCTGGACACAGCGGCGGTGTGGAGGAAGAGCGAGGCCTGGGCGTTGCTCGGGATGACCGGCTCCAGGCCTTCCCTCCGCACGGCAGACCACCGAGCCCACGGGGAGCTGACCGCCATGGCGGGCG